ACTGCATAATTAAAATCTATTAGGGTTCTTTCTATTTTCAAGATCTAAATTGTCCATGCAATCAGTGTACAATATTTAAAATTTGGTCCACGTGTTATAAATACGTTCTGTGTCATATCTAAGTTGACATGGAATGCTTAAGTCGATGACTAGACTGACGTAAAGGCTTGATTGAAATAATATTAATAGTTTGAGACCTAATTTAAAAAAATAAGTTTGGGGTAATTTGTTAAACAGTATGAGTAGTTGTCATTGTTGGCTAGTTGGCAACAAAGAATAGCATAAGGGTAGTTTTGGGGGCTAATGATAGTGGCTTGGGGTATATGTGGAGCGAATATGAAGTTATATTGTTTTACCTCATCTTACAAAGATTTGGAATCCTTATCACCACCGGCCTTCCAAAGTAACACGGATGGATTCCCCTTTTTAGCCTTGATAGAATTGTTCTTATTTGATGGCTGCTAATTTGTATTTACTTAAATGACTGAAATTTTCAAAAGAAGATGCCTAGATAGCCATTCGGTTTCCTTTGTGGTTAGATTCCATATTAAAAAAACAGATGATGTCTGCAATAGGCCCTTATAGAAATCCAATATGTAGTTTTGTTAGTGCGGATTACTTGGATTCTAATACAACTTGTAAATATTGATCCGATCAGGCAGTGAAGTTAATACTTTTTGGGTCAAAGCTAATGCAAGTAGATCCACTAATTTTGTCTAGTCTACATCTACTAGCATAAGCATGGGAACAACTTTCTTGGGGAATTTTGGATAAAAAGAACAGATGGTTCAGGGAAAATGGAAATAACAAAGTAAATCTGACTGAGAGGGGCAAAAGAGGATCTTTCAATGCTCTTCCTTTGCGTCATAGACTTTGGGGTTCTCGCACTAATCAGTTAACTATGTGCATGCATACTAGTCTGTTAGAAAGCTGGTAGCCAGTTTAAGGCCTTCTAAGGTGAAATTGATTATAGATCTTTTTGGATTGTATTGTTATCAAGGCCATAACAAACCTACTTTTTACGTTACTTATTTTCATGTTTGTAAAATTGTATACTTTATTCTCTTACAGCGTCTGCTCTCTAGTGTTATACTTTAGGGGCTGAGCCTGTGGGTAGATCTAGATCATGGATATTGGCTTGTCACCCACTAGCTATATGTCATTGATTCTGGATAGGGTGTGGGACACAATTCTTTATGTTTTTTTTTCTTCATAATACTGTTTCTATAGCCTCAAGGCTAAAGTTTCGTGAAAGAATTAAATACATCTAGGTGGAATGTCATAAGTTTGATACAAACTTATATGGAAGAATGTTAATAGTATTATAAGAACTGTGCACCAACCAGCTGAGTACGTAGTTTACAAAATCTTTGCCTGATTCTAATGATAAATATTTGTAACAAACTGGAAGTGTATTTCAGTACATGAATTCATAGAAGATTGCTTCATCGGTCGCGTCTTTACCATTCTGATAATAGATCTTGACTGGAATTCGTGATAGAAAGGTTAACTGGAAGAAGCTAATTCTTATAAAGAAGTGTTTCTTTTCAGTTAAATCTTTGGATTATATCTGGTTTTATATTCAGGTTTGGCACGGCTGTAATCCGCACCGCATAATATTCGAATTTAAATTCTATTATATTGTCCTTGGCTGTTACTTCTTGTGCATCAGTTCCTTAATAACAAACATTCTAATATCCGACATCCAGACATATCGGACACATACCGATATCTGATACTCAGTCCAAGTAACATGGTCTTGTATGTCTATCAGTCTATGGTTAAAGTTTACCAAGGTTGTGCATATGCATGCTTAAAAAGATATAATAAGACTAGATATAGGCCTTTCAAGAAAAGCTTCCATTAGCACATAAATGCAAGTAATAAAATAGAGGAAGCGTTCCACGGGAGAAAGATGGGTATCTTCTTATCAACATGCTACGTATCATTCACAGGCCTGTTTGGAATAAAGCTGCTCTGGTAGAGTGCCAAGGCTTGAAAGCAAGGAAGGATTAATAATAATCCATAGCAACATCAATGACATAGATCTCTGATCCTCGGTGATCATTCACAAACCGGTTTGGTGTCAAAGCTGCTTAGGCAGATTGCAAAAGCTTGGAAAGTGGATAGAGGGTAACGATAATCCATGGTGAAGATGTCTTTGCCGATTTTTCCAAACTGTAAGATTACCTTCTCTTGCTCTTCGGGTGATATGTTATGTGATAGCTCGCCAGCTGTGACAAGCTGGAAATTCTTTACAGAGGCCACCGTCACACGCCCCTTGAAGTCAAGGCACCAGCACTGTAACTGTTCATGCCATATTGGAGCCTTGTTCTTTAGGGTTAGTGGCTCTCCTGAGTCCACTGCGACTATTGGCATGGCTGGGAGGGGTGGGGAGCTGGTGTTTGCCACTGGTTCCTTTCCTTTCGAACTGGTTAAGGAGGAAAGTTGTTTGTCAAAGGATCGGCTGAATGCCAATGGTGTCGGTGCAGTGCCTTCTTCCTGAATAGCAGACACAGGAATCGAGTGCAAAACACAATGCATTCTCCTCGGTCCCTGCTTTCTGAGAACATTGAGCTCATAGGTAACGGTACCTATGTCATAGTTGGATGAAGATAGTTTTTCAGAAACCTGCTTCGAATGGAATCTTTGACTTGATCGGGTAGTTGATGGTATTATTGAATCACATGGAGGTTGACTGTCATATATCTTGAACTTGGTACCGAAAAAATTAGACCTGCAAAGAAATTTCAATGTGTCATGATAGACATTATTAAGAGAGAATAACCGGACAAAGATAAGAAATCTAATGGCGAGACTTGCCTTAGTTTACCAACATATGTATAGTTGGCCTTAGAAAATTCATCAGCAGCCATAGATATAATGAAGTCCGTGCATGTAGCCCTTCTGACCTTCCTTGCTGCTAACAGGAATTTATCATTCTTTCCCTCGGCTGTAAATCACAGAAGCGACACAAGTGAATAGTTCTCAAAACATATGGAAGCTTCATAAAAGTCGTATCTCCAACGAATATTATATTATTTGGCTAAGAATAATGAGTATAATTTATGAGAACTACAAAGCTAATTAACCCAGATTATGTCAAAGCCAGCTTCAACCAAGCATAAAGTCTGGTATGAGAACAGGAACAATCAAAATGTAATGTTATACCATGTTTCTATCAAAACAGATATTCACATCTTAAACTTAAATTTCTCGTGAATAATAGCAACTAAGGAAATCATAATAAGATAACTTACAAGGCATCAGACCACAGAATAAGTGATATGTAGAAGTTGCTCTGTCCCTTCTAATATAGCATTGAATCGGGGAATCACGAGGACCGGGCTGTTCGCGAGCAAAAATAGTATATATCAGCAACCTTTTAAATGGAAGAATAAGATGATACATAGCCACTCCCGTTATTTATAAAGACAGACAGTTTGAGAAAACTTAAACTCATCTTATAAGCAAGTGTTCGTTCATCAACTTAAATTATACATCAATTACAAGTGTGTGTTCGTTTCAAGATAGAAAAGTCAAACTGTAGAAATGTAGATTGCAGTACAATTATGTTCTTGACAAAGATGCATACAACCAGTATATCAGTGCAAAGATTTTGGCCTTTTTGCCAATGTAAACTTTACTACCGTTGAAATAGCCCGTAGTTCATTGCCAATGGATCAAAATGACATGTAATCCAATACAGAAAAGGTACAACCTGCTTCAACGAAATGGGGAATGTAAGCCTTCCACATTGCTCGGGAGTCTTCACAATCTCCTTTGTAATCTCCCTCCAAGACCTACAAACTGCTGCGCAAGACAGTACGACTGTTCGAGCAGGCCAAGCTGTCTCACTGTGTTCGACCCTTTGGATGATATCCAAGAGCAACTCGGGCGGTAGATTCGCCCAAGGGCTTTGGTCTACGGATTCTGATACGGTTGATGCTCGATCAGGAGCGACATGGGATCGAGTCAGACTACGCCGAATCTTGCTTTCACCTCCTTTGATATGTTCCCAATCCCCTCTTTCATTTCCCTTAATTCTAGCATAATACTCTTGAGTGACATCTTTTATAAGCATTACCAAATCCAATCTCTCAATATTCAACTACAAATATATAACATATCCGTTAAAGAAACAAAACCCAAAGATCAACAGCCATAAATGATATAAAATGTACAAAAAAATATGGATCTCTTTATACCTGAATCGCCGAGCCAGAAAAGCTAAGAGCTCGAGATTGTGAGAAGAAACAAAAAGGAAGAAACCAACTTAAGCCAAACGGTTCAAATCAACCCAGAATGAACCAGCTCAGATGCATTCCCCACAATCTTAGGGACACACACAGTTCAATCAAAACCACGAACCAACAACAAAGATCAGATCGGAGTGAAACAAATAATTAAAAACGTTTTCAGTAATTTAAGGAAGGTGACAACCTTTTCTCTTTTTTATTAGCGGGACGGCCACGTCGTTTGTAACGCCGGTGCCACCGCAACAACCAGCTTCAACGCCGACGATTGGTCCTCCCGGCCGTCACCACCGGCTTTCTCCCTGGATCAGAAGCGAAAACTAACACTCTACCAGAGCTCTCTTTCACTTAAATGGGATCCAAAGTGTTTTCCCCCTTCATATATACTGTTATTTTCAGAAAATTCTAATAAATTATTATTAATAATAAATATTATTTCGTTGTTTTCTAAATTAAGTTTCCTTAAAGAGTAGTCTTTTGATTAATTATTATTTTAAAACTAATTATTCTATATTTATCAATTTAATTTTTATTATTTATATATTTTATTAATATAATCCTAATTTTAATTAAAAAATAAAAATTTGAGTTAAGTTTAAAGAATAAACATTTGAAAAAGTCAATAATAAACTGTTACATCAAGTTAACTATCTATTTTATCATTAACAAAAATTATATTTGAATTGAATTTGGAAAAAATAGACAATAATGGATTTCTCAAGAGCAATCTCCAATTACCCAAAAGGCTGTTTCTCAAGAAGCTAACATGGAAATTATGCAAACCAAAAGAATAATAAGAACCACGCCGCAAACCCAGTAAAGGCATGCTGTCTTCTTCTTCTTCGTTTGATTTGCATAGTAAAGTTGATTTGTTCCTCCACTGATAAAATCAGCAGCATTGGCCAAGTTTTCTTCAATGTCATCCATCTTCTCCCCTTGTGCCTCAACTAGAACAGCCATGTCGAGGAACACCAGATGCAGCCTCTCCAAACTTCGTCGAATATCCATCACGGCTTCATGCCTCTCCTTGTTCCTCGAATCCATTTCGAATATCTCAGCCAATGACCGAACGTGTTCGCCGCTGCAGGAAACCGTCTTTTCGACCATGTCTTCTCCGGTGGCGTCGTAGTATCTTCTCTTGAGATCTTCTTTATGATCAGATAAAATCTTCTCCCTCAAGGCGTTAAAATCATTCATCATTCGCTTGAGATTAGCCCTCAAACCGTTTGTTACCGAAACCCTGGTTCGATCCACATACGTCCCTTCCCTATATGCATCTGATAATCTCCTATTGTTTGCATTAGATCTGTCGAGTGATTCGAGCTTTTCCTTGACAAGCTTTGCTTTTTGAAGAATCGAAACGGTGTCGGCTTCCATCCTATCTCGTAACCCTAGGAGGACTTTGGCGCTGTGGCTGGACTTTGTTTCTTCATTTAGGGTTTGTAGATCAAACACGAGATTTGTGATCCCTTCCATTGTTATCTTGATCGAGGCCACTTCTTGGAAGAACTGAGATAGGTTGATTTCAACAATGGGGTTGAGTTTCCCTTTCCCAATGCCTTTTTCAACGTCAAGTTCGGATTCCAAATCCCTCTGTGTCTGTTTCTTCAGTTCCACATAACTTAAGAAAGACTTGGTCATTAGATCGTTCATCTTTGCAAGAACTCTGCAGTAAAAACCTCCTGCAAAAACAATCAAGAAACAGAAAGTGAAACCCTTCTTTTCCGGGAAACTGAGAAAGCAAACCTTGTTTGGATAAACTTCTAAGGATTCTTTCAAAATGATTCTTCAGCAGTCTAGAATAACCAGAGAAACAAAACTCAGAAAAATAGGTGCAAGAATGAAGGGAAAATCCCATGAGAAACGTAAAGAACAAAACCTGGAAGCGGGACTCCAAGAAAACTGAGAAATCTTTGGCCTGTTTTGTTAAGTGTCAAAGGCTCCTTCAAATGCAAAGAACCCTTTTCTTCTCTGTGTAAGATTCAGATTATGGGGTTTGAATGGGAGAGTTTTAAAGAGAATCAAGGAATATGACTGTGCAGTTGGGGAATTTCAAGTTTCTATTTCACACACAATAGCCGTTGGATTAAAACGCTACCGTTTTAACTTCAAAGTACAAAAACCAAAAGCAAAATAAGCACCATGTGAGTCTTCTATTTCTACTATTTTTTCATGCCATTTTATGATGGTTTATTTGAAGATAAGTAATTAAATTATATATATTATTTTAAATGTTTAAAAGAATTTAATCAAAATAAGTATATATCATTTCATTCTGCCCTATTTTCAAATTTTATATTATATTTATTAAAAATATTGAATGGATACATAGCTTGTGACATGACTTTATAACAATGACGGATCAAAAAAATTAAGAATGGAGGTCCAAAAATTTAATTTTCTTTTCTTAAAAATAATGGGTATGCAAAAATTGTAATTTTTTTTCTTTTTTCCTTAACATATTAAGCTAAATTTAACCACTTTTTTTTAAAATAATGGGATGCATTTGGCCCTTATGAGGGCTTAGTGCATCCTCCCCTGCTTTATAATTACATTTTGTTTTCTTGAATTACTTCATCTTATCCATGAAACTTTCCCCTCTTTATCTCAATATTCTAGGGTTTACATTATGCTTAAGGAGCATATATCAAAGTTTGATGTTGATGGTAAAATAAGATAGTGTTTTAACAGAGGTAAAAGAGACTATGAAGATGACAAATGATGATTTTAGGTTATCTTTATCTATTTTTTTGACAAATTTAATGAGAAAATAGGATGGAGAAAAGAATAACTTATACAGGGGTGGTGGAGAAATTGTTTTCTCAATTAGAGTGAAATAACTAATAGATAAGGAAGACGCTCAAATCATCTGACGTTTTTGGGAAGACACGACGTTTTCTCTAAGCTGCATGCAATTGTACAGCTAAATCGAACATAATAATAATAATAATACAAAAGATGTCGATTAATCCAAACAACTTCCTAAAGACGTCGAATTGTCTAAGTATCTTCCGAAAACACTGTAACAAATATTCTATCTCAACAAATAGTTTTCCATTACTCTAAATCAACTACTTTTGTTTACAACACCATAGTTGAGTAATTTTACATCTTTTTTCTTGACTATTTTAGGTCAAATTTTAATATCCGTATGTGTGTGCTTTTTAAAATGTAATATCCTTGTTGTACGTTAAATGATAGTCTTTTCGGGATTAAGCCAGATCATTTGTAAGATATTTGGGCTTAGTCCAGTGGACACGTAATCACAGTTTCTTATTTGTCTTTGGGCCTTTGTTCTCTCAATTATCAGAGTCATAATAGAATGATATGTATTCATATTTTAATTATATTATAAATTTACAATTTATCTTATATATATGATGAACAATTAGTTGATCTAGTAAGACACTAGAGGATTTAAGCAAGGTTAAGGATTTAAATCTTAATGTTTGTTAATAGGAGAAACTGAGTTGGAAGAATCACTCTCGCCTTTACAGTAGTCAATCTAAATTAATCGATTAATAAATCAAATATCGATGATTATATCAATTTTTTTATCTTATATACAAATGATCTCTTTCCCGTAAATGTCAAAGTCCAAATTTCACCATCTCTCTTTGTGTCCACATTCTTCATCACATGTGACTCATGCATGCATGCATGTGTTAAACCCATAACAAAGACGGACGACCCACGGCCATTTAATAAATTTAATGTTCCATTTAACTAAACTATATCATGACAAATTCTCATATTATTTTGAACCAAAAAAAAAAAACAGGTGAGCATTAGGTTAAGTTTGATGGCAACACCGACATTTGATATTAATCATTAACACGTCCATCTAATCATAAAATTATGTCAAAGTGTTTGTTTCTTGAACACTTAGTCCAACCCCCACCAACCTCCACAGCTAAAGGAATTTAAACAGCATTATCTCGTCATGTGCAAACTAATATGATAAGGGAATATTATTTTTATTTCGAGGTCTTATATTATTCGAAAAACTATATTTATAAGATGCACGTGTATTATCAATGATATAATTACCCGAGATTATTCAAACAAAAATTATTAATAGATCAATTCTTTATAATTTAGTGGTAGATAATTTTAAACTCGTTAAAGGCTTTGACAATCGTTTTATATTTCTCTACGAATACCAAATGGAAGAAATATCTTATACTTTTTTGGATTAATAAAATAAATTAATTTTATTGTAAAAATAAAAACAAAATATAATAAATAATTTTAAAAGATAAAACTTTGTAAAAACTAAAATATACTAATCTCAACAATCATTCATTTTCTTATAATTATCAAAGAACACAAACTATTCTTGCATAATAAAGATAATAACATATAAGGAAAGTGTTAACAAGTTTAATCGAACAAGTCAAAAATAATAGATGATAGACATAAATATTATTATTGTGTCGGTGAAAGATAAAAACCATCAACATTAACATAAAAATAATATATCATGACAATATATTGATAACTGATTTTTCTCATAACTTAAATATAACACACGTGGAGTGATTATAAGCACTTATCAAGATGAAAGAAATAATTTGATGGTCCAAATCAAAGTAGATCAACAAGATAATCAAAAAAATAGAAAAATCTATAAACCTCGCCACTTTAATTCTGAAAAGGAATATTAAAATTTAAACAAAATATTTAATAACAAAATAAAATGAAAAAAGTCATGTCAATATAATTTCAGAAAACAACTATAAAAAACTGGGAAAAAAATCAGATGCCTACAATTTAAATGTTATTTTCTGTTTCTTTTTAACAAATGTAATAGGTCACAAACAATTAATTTGGTCACACATCGAACCATTCCTTGGAAAAAAGTAACTTTGCCAAACTCTAAGCCTATGAAGAAATTATCTCAATTTAGTAACTTCCTTTTTCATTTTAGTATTTCTAAGCATTCTCTTTTTCCCCAAATTTTGTGCGGAAGTGGAAAGAAACAGAGAAGTTGTGCGTGGCAAAGCTTAAGTAAGCCAAACTGCAAATTATCTTTAAGAAAAAGATATATTTCTTCTTCTTTGTTCTAATAATTTAAGATTGTATTATGTATATGGAGAGAGAGAATTTTGATATTTCCTAAAAGCCGAAACCCCCAAGGTCCAAAACAGTACGTAGAATAGTAGATGCCGTTTTTGCCACAAGGGAAATGCCGTGTTGCCCTTTTGCTTTACATGCTATCTATCTCCTATCATCTTCTTTTTCTCTTTTGTCTCATTGGTCTGATAAAAAAATTCAGAATCAGAGTAGACCATTTCTCTCTGTTTCGATTAAGACTTTTGCTCAAATCAATTTTTTTGTTTTTGAAGTTGTGAATTTGGAGTTGGTTTAATGGTTGAAGAAAGGGGTGGGGGGAATGAGCTTATTTTTTTGGAAGCAACGAAGGTGAAGGTTCAGAATTTTACATAATTGGTTTGAAAGCTGGTGTGTTTGGACTTTGCTGATAGATTGAAGAAAAGGGTAGCAACAAGTTGTTTTTTTTAAAGATCAAATCAAAGAAGAAGAAGCAACATGTAAGATTGATCTCAAACCTTTTGATTTTGTTTCCCTTTTCTATTTGGGTTAAGTTTAAGTTTCCTTTTTAATGCTGATCCTTTTGTTTCTGGGGATTTCACAGAGCAATGGCGATGCCCGTAGAGCCACCAAATAGGGTGCAGGCTATAGGGAAGCATTGCTTTTCAATGTGGCAGACCCTTTTCGAGATCGACACAAAGTACTATCCGATCAAGCCTATAGGGAGAGGAGCATACGGTGTAGTTTGCTCGGCGATCAACAGGGAAACCGATGAGAAAGTGGCCATAAAGAAGATCAACAATGTGTTTGACTACCCTGTCGATGCGTTGAGAACTCTGAGGGAGTTGAGACTTCTTAGACACATCCGACATGACAACGTGATTGCTTTGAAGGATGTAATGATGCCAACTCAGAGAACCAGCTTTAAGGATGTTTATTTGGTTTACGAGCTTATGGACACGGATTTGCATCAGATCATCAAGTCCTCTCAGCCTCTTTCTAATGATCATTGCAAGTATTTTATTTTTCAGGTACTGGGAATTCACCTCTCTTCTTATTGTGATTTGTCTGTGTTGAGATACAACTTAAAAATGGTAATTTAGGCCTTATGAATACTAACCATCTCTAGATGGTAATTCTGGTATTAGTTGTATGTATATTTCGACCCGGCTCTTCAGTTTTCCTGAAGTACTCTGTTTCGACACTCGCAATAGAGTTTGAGTTATATGGCATATGGCATATGGCTATAGGTCATTAGAGTTGTTAACATTTTGTTGTTTGATTTCCCCATTTTGCAAGGCCTTAAGTTACACTGTAAAATGTCTAGTTAGCATTAATACCAGTCCTTTGAGGAGTTTCGTGCATTTTTGAGTATGGAGCTTTTATGAGTTTCGTGCTCATCTGGTCCCAATTTTCATTTAGTTGGGCAGAAATATGGAGCGTTGAGTTATTAGGCTTAATATAACAAGTTGTACTGCTGGAAACTTGTTAGTACATCCATTATGGTTCAAAGATGAAGAGAATAGATTAACAGTTTAGAGAATACAAGTTGCATATTTATTGCAGGGAGTTATTTGCTTAGCATTGTTCACACTCATAAAGGCCCGAATAACAAGCAGTGTTCATTTCTTTCAGCAAGGGTTCTTTCGGATACAATTCGTTCTGCTTCGCTTCCATTTTGTCCTCGTATTTATCATTCCTAGAATCACCAGCGGGA